GTTAACATTTTTAATGTAGGAAAAAACTATTAGTTAACGTAATTAGAGTGAGTCCACTTTTAGAATCTAAAGAAAATGAAGGAAGAGAAATAAAGTTGAAGCTTTGATCTCAACTTTGAACAAAGCTGAGGAGATAAACTTGGGTCTTTGCATCTGAAACTGAGCAATATCATAAGCACTAAAGCCTTTTGACAGTAAAAGACAATATAATTAGGAGTATTATCAGTCATGTATGAAAGACAATACATCCCCTTCCAGATTTGGGCATTATAACTGAGGGTATGGATATTAATTCCTACAGCCATGAATAAAAGAATTTATCCAATAAAATTTGTGTAAGAATGTCAAATGAAACAAAATTAGGTATACTAAAACACAGCTTTATGAGAAGAAAGAGATCGGAGTTGTATTATGTGAGAGGTTGGGGGGGATGAAACCTTTTTGTATCGAGATAGCTTTTTATCAGTGAAAAGAATATAGTGAATTTGCTTTGTTATTGCCTACAATCCTGATATAGAAAACTAAAAACAGAGCAAACCCTATGTGACATGAGAAATCCTAGACACAATGCTCTCAGCTGAATCACTCGTCGCACTGTCGATGTGGAAAATATGTGAGGAAATAAAACAACGAAAAGTTGGAATTTTACACAATCTCAAAAGAAAACATGTACTTAACTAAGCCTAATTGAGTTCAAGAGCTCATCTTTCACTTTTGTTTCCTTCCCTTCCCAAACAAGCAAACAAACAAAGATGCATTGAAAATTTTGTAGTTTGTATAACAAACCAACATAATGAAGTAGCAGAAGGGTTGCTGTAACGCCCCAAAATCCCCCTTGGACGGCATTACTATCTAAAATCATTCACATCATAAGAGCAATTAATAAAATCCATTAATAAAGAAAGTTTCGTTCTTATACATAATATCTACAACATCATTTCAAAAGAATATGCCAAATCATGACAATTACATCCAAAAGAATCAAACTTAATCTGGCAGCAGAATAACAAAATATTAGACTTTATATTGTCTCAAAATAATTTCCTAGTCTAGAACATAATAGAGTATAGCTCTAAACATCCACCTCGGGATCCACGTTCCCATCTATTGGAGCTTCCCAATGTGCCGGCTCCTCAACTCTGAGTTCCTTCTCTAGACCATAATCTGAAAAGAATATTGTTTGTAGGGGATGAGCACTAAACTCTGTAGGAAAATCTTCTCAAACTCGAACAAGGTTTGGAAAGTTGGTAAAACAAGTCGGTCTTATTTCAAAAATATCATATATCCATTTTGAAAGAAAACTGTGACATTTCAATGGATTTTAAGTTTACACAATAGCAATACTTAAATAAAAGAGTAAGACTAATTTCACCATAAATAACGATTCCAACCATTTGCACAAGAAACCATAGCCCACAAAATATCATCAACCGTTATGTATCTGTATCTCCAATGTATCTCAAGTATGATGTATGACATCGCATAAATAAACACATTGAGAATATTCTGGCCCACACACACACACCCAATCCTCGTAAAGATATCTAACTTTTAGGAAACGCATTTACCCATTCTACGATATTCAGTCAATAGTCACACATGTTCATCCAAACATCCACACAAGAGATATTGTACCAACCATTTTCTCAAATCACAAGTAAATCAAAAATTCTCAATTTTCACATGTATTTTTCCAACAAAGCAATTTAAGGAAAATAAGCAAGAGATCATCAAATATACAATTTTTAGTGTTCAAATAAAGCACTAGAGTTGTTGAATCAAGAACAAATGACTATCAAGAAGAAAAATTCATCTTTCTCAAAAAACTAGGTTTTGACATCAAAACAAGGGTTTTTATGGCTTTCAACCAATAACTTCATGAGAAGGTTTGCAAAAACATCAAGAAACAAGGATATCATAACATATATCTAAGATTTTGAAGCAAACATACAAAGATGTAAACCCTAGCCTCAATGGACAAGAGTGGGAAGAAACCCCTACCTTGAATCAAGAGTTTCAAGCAAAGCTCAAGCCCTAGAGACTTCCTTCCTCCCTTTTTTTTCTCCCTTTATCTTCTCCTAGGGTTCTAAGTGGTTGGGGTGAGAGTGGAATGAAAGAATGAAAAAAAAATGGGATGAAAATGGTGTTTTAAAGCCAGCCCAATCCCGAATTACATTTTTTTTTGAAATTACGGTTTTGCCACTAAATATATTCAATTTGATCTCTATGACTACCATAAGGTTTTTAGACATTCCGGATTTATTTTTAATATTATTTTAACCTGAAAATATTTAATTTTATGATTTATCTTTATACTAAAGTAAATTTATACTCGAAACACTAAAATTACTATTTTATTCCTTCGAACCGCTCTTAATGAAGGCTTTAAATCGATTGACCCATACGAGGTCCAACATACTATCCTTAGTACTTTATTATTGTCCATTTATAACATTTGAAGGAAAGAATACTTGGTCCCAAAGCTTAGCAAAAATAGATTTAAAATTTCTGATTTTTAGAAAGAGTACTGGTACTGTTTGCTTTCTGAATAGCGTGGTACCGGTACACAGTACCGATATTGTTTGCTCTCTGGACAGCGTGGTGCCAGTACACACTACCGGTACTATTTGTCCAAATTTGCCTGTTTCACCAGTTTTTTTTCATTTTCAATCCATTTCAAACCCTTCCAACACCAACTCAAACTTATACAACATACATTTGTACATCAAACATAGTTGGTACAAGTTCTACTACAAACGATTTCGCATATTTACCCGGATTTTTCAATATTAGCATTTCCAAAAAGAGAAATGATTACTTGCTAAATTAAGATAAGCATGTGGGGGTTTACAGCTGCAAATATATTCACAGATTAAAAGACTTTTTTTTTTAAAGTCAAACTTACATGTAATAACAATAACCAAACAAATCACACAAACAACGTAAAAAGGAGTGAACGAATTTAGTTGTGGATGATGAGCCAAGTAAGTAAGCGATTTAAAGTGATTAAGAAAAATACTTACCAAAATCACCAAATCACAAAGAACAAAAGAAAATTTCAAAAACATAAAACTACCAACGAATTTGTTGGCATTAAAATCTTGAGATTCGACTCAAAACCACCAAATCAAACGAACTTTAAGATTCGACTCAAAAGTAACTGAAAAGTCTACCAATTAAGACAACATATAAACCCTTTACAAAGATTACGAAATTAAAGGATAACTAATTGACGATCAAATGTATTTAATCAAACTATCAAATTGTTTGGGTCCAACAAAAAATCTACTAATATAACCTTTTTAAAATAATATAACCTTTTTAACACATGAATCGATCAAAGTTCAAGAGAATATCTGCAAGTAGAGCCCACCTATCCTTGTTTTCCAAAAAAACAAAGAAGTGAAACACAATCAGACATTCAAATGGTTATCTAACCCAATTGATCAAAAGGTACTACACTATGATTAGTTAATACAAAGGAAAACATCGAGTAAGGTATCCCAATTCAAAAATAAATTGCAGGAAAAAATGACTTCATTTCAAGAAAACACATCATAGTCGCCGATTCAGTGTCATTCTCATTCACATTAGTAGGAATTAACACGCACCAACAAATAATGTCATATCAGCAATGTTGCTTTCTATTAGCAAAACACGATTTTAAAGTATTTTTTCATTCAAAACCCTACTCCTATCATAAAGCTAAACAATTTAGAGAATAAGATTAAGTAGAGAAAGTAACAAATATTTGAAGTCACATGACAATTTTTCAATTGCATGGAATAGATTGTTCTTTGCTGAATGTAATAGATTATTCTTCGTTGATTCATTTTTATAACAAATGGTCATATTAATCGTAATGACATGCTTGTGTAACACATGTAACAAATTTTTCAATCAAATAGCCCTTGAGNTAGCTGAATGTAATAGATTATTCTTCGTTGATTCATTTTTATAACAAATGGTCATATTAATCATAATGACATGCTTGTGTAACACATGTAACAAATTTTTCAATCAAATAGCCCTTGAGCTAAAGTTGCAAGTAAATACATGAAGTCTTGGCCAAAAAAATTTTGAGTCCAAGTGTTACACATAGTATTTTGAGAGGCTTTCATTTGCTTTTAATGGCAAAAATTGATTTATCTGCTCTAAGAAGCAGATAAAATTCAGCTAAAGTATTGCTCATAGCTTTAAATGCTAGTGTATAGAGAAGAAGAAACAATCCAAAAGAAGCATAAGTTAAATGAGTTGACATATTTAAGTTGAAAAAATCATATTATAGAGAACCATACATAGAGAAACAAACAAAGCACATGAGTAGCCATAAACCTGCACAGTAGATTAAAAAAAAAATCTGGACATTTTTCTTTCTAAAGCTTCTCTTCCAACTTGCTTTTCGATTACAATTTTTCTCATCCGAAAGTGATTCTTCCACCATCTAATCTCCATTGCATTTAACATTAAATATTTACAATTTGATTTGTTTTTAAACTTGATGCCATCCGGCAAAATTTGAAAAATGACCAACAAATGATTGAAAAAGGGGTAGGTTAGTTGCTCCAAATGAATAATGCACTGACAGCGTCGAAGATAAACAACTGAAGAGGGTCGTTCTAATATTACAAGCGAATCGAATATCTTAGGTACACGCACAAAAATACATCATATAAACATACCCTAACTTTTTTCAATCGAAAAAAAATATTTTTAGAAAGTTGACCCAAAAGTTTGGTCCCAACAAATAACGAATAACTTGTGCACATGAACCCAAATAGTATACATCAATCCTTTAAGCTTGGTTGACTATTTCAACAGGCCACTTTACACTCTATCACCAAATATTCATCACTCCTTAATCCAATGTATAGACAAAATGCATCAAAATGCATAAAAAATTAAAATTTTATGAAAAATAAAGAGTTTTTGATCAAGAGCAAAATGACCGAGCTCACCTATTTGTGATCGAAGGGATCAATTCAAATAGTTCTCGGTCGATGAATGTTTTTGTCAGAAGCAAATTGGAAGATTGGGATTGTGGTTTCATTTGCAAATTTAAAATTTAATGTTGTCATATTGCAATTGAAAATTTAATGTAAATTTAACCAGTCTTACAGGACAAAATGAACTTTCTATGGCTCATATGATTTTAAGGTTCATAAGTTCTTGTTGAAGCCCCAAAAGAAGTAAGAGCAGGGAGCAGGAAACAAGGGTGTTGATTTTTTGTTTGGGTGTCTGCGTTATGTTGATACTGTTCACATCAGACATGTACCCATGTAAGAAAACTGCCAACGAAATATCTTCGTTAAGCATTTGAGGATGATATGTTTATCCCTACCTCCCATAATGGGATGTTGTGAGGACTTGATTAGAATGTAGGTCATGGAATTTGAGTATAATATTTGTGCGTACGTAGAAAGTGTCTTGACAAGATCTGTTTTTTTCTGAACATAACAATTTGCTTGCAGATTGGGGTAATAAAAGCAGTCAAGAACTCTGTGAATAGTTCTAAGAATGTTACAGCATTATGGGTAACTCATCGTTTGGAGGAACTCGAGAATGCTGATGGTGCTGTATATATGGAAGATGGAAGAGTCGTCATGCATGGTGATGCTTCAAGCATAAAAGATTTCATTGAAGCCAGGCAAACCTCTTATATAGACCAAATAAACTCTTGAAGACATTTTTTAATATTTTTTCTTCGAAATATATGTTTCTACCCTGTTNGCAAACAAACAAAGATGCATTGAAAATTTTGTAGTTTGTATAACAAACCAACATAATGAAGTAGCAGAAGGGTTGCTGTAACGCCCCAAAATCCCCCTTGGACGGCATTACTATCTAAAATCATTCACATCATAAGAGCAATTAATAAAATCCATTAATAAAGAAAGTTTCGTTCTTATACATAATATCTACAACATCATTTCAAAAGAATATGCCAAATCATGACAATTACATCCAAAAGAATCAAACTTAATCTGGCAGCAGAATAACAAAATATTAGACTTTATATTGTCTCAAAATAATTTCCTAGTCTAGAACATAATAGAGTATAGCTCTAAACATCCACCTCGGGATCCACGTTCCCATCTATTGGAGCTTCCCAATGTGCCGGCTCCTCAACTCTGAGTTCCTTCTCTAGACCATAATCTGAAAAGAATATTGTTTGTAGGGGATGAGCACTAAACTCTGTAGGAAAATCTTCTCAAACTCGAACAAGGTTTGGAAAGTTGGTAAAACAAGTCGGTCTTATTTCAAAAATATCATATATCCATTTTGAAAGAAAACTGTGACATTTCAATGGATTTTAAGTTTACACAATAGCAATACTTAAATAAAAGAGTAAGACTAATTTCACCATAAATAACGATTCCAACCATTTGCACAAGAAACCATAGCCCACAAAATATCATCAACCGTTATGTATCTGTATCTCCAATGTATCTCAAGTATGATGTATGACATCGCATAAATAAACACATTGAGAATATTCTGGCCCACACACACACACCCAATCCTCGTAAAGATATCTAACTTTTAGGAAACGCATTTACCCATTCTACGATATTCAGTCAATAGTCACACATGTTCATCCAAACATCCACACAAGAGATATTGTACCAACCATTTTCTCAAATCACAAGTAAATCAAAAATTCTCAATTTTCACATGTATTTTTCCAACAAAGCAATTTAAGGAAAATAAGCAAGAGATCATCAAATATACAATTTTTAGTGTTCAAATAAAGCACTAGAGTTGTTGAATCAAGAACAAATGACTATCAAGAAGAAAAATTCATCTTTCTCAAAAAACTAGGTTTTGACATCAAAACAAGGGTTTTTATGGCTTTCAACCAATAACTTCATGAGAAGGTTTGCAAAAACATCAAGAAACAAGGATATCATAACATATATCTAAGATTTTGAAGCAAACATACAAAGATGTAAACCCTAGCCTCAATGGACAAGAGTGGGAAGAAACCCCTACCTTGAATCAAGAGTTTCAAGCAAAGCTCAAGCCCTAGAGACTTCCTTCCTCCCTTTTTTTTCTCCCTTTATCTTCTCCTAGGGTTCTAAGTGGTTGGGGTGAGAGTGGAATGAAAGAATGAAAAAAAAATGGGATGAAAATGGTGTTTTAAAGCCAGCCCAATCCCGAATTACATTTTTTTTTGAAATTACGGTTTTGCCACTAAATATATTCAATTTGATCTCTATGACTACCATAAGGTTTTTAGACATTCCGGATTTATTTTTAATATTATTTTAACCTGAAAATATTTAATTTTATGATTTATCTTTATACTAAAGTAAATTTATACTCGAAACACTAAAATTACTATTTTATTCCTTCGAACCGCTCTTAATGAAGGCTTTAAATCGATTGACCCATACGAGGTCCAACATACTATCCTTAGTACTTTATTATTGTCCATTTATAACATTTGAAGGAAAGAATACTTGGTCCCAAAGCTTAGCAAAAATAGATTTAAAATTTCTGATTTTTAGAAAGAGTACTGGTACTGTTTGCTTTCTGAATAGCGTGGTACCGGTACACAGTACCGATATTGTTTGCTCTCTGGACAGCGTGGTGCCAGTACACACTACCGGTACTATTTGTCCAAATTTGCCTGTTTCACCAGTTTTTTTTCATTTTCAATCCATTTCAAACCCTTCCAACACCAACTCAAACTTATACAACATACATTTGTACATCAAACATAGTTGGTACAAGTTCTACTACAAACGATTTCGCATATTTACCCGGATTTTTCAATATTAGCATTTCCAAAAAGAGAAATGATTACTTGCTAAATTAAGATAAGCATGTGGGGGTTTACAGCTGCAAATATATTCACAGATTAAAAGACTTTTTTTTTTAAAGTCAAACTTACATGTAATAACAATAACCAAACAAATCACACAAACAACGTAAAAAGGAGTGAACGAATTTAGTTGTGGATGATGAGCCAAGTAAGTAAGCGATTTAAAGTGATTAAGAAAAATACTTACCAAAATCACCAAATCACAAAGAACAAAAGAAAATTTCAAAAACATAAAACTACCAACGAATTTGTTGGCATTAAAATCTTGAGATTCGACTCAAAACCACCAAATCAAACGAACTTTAAGATTCGACTCAAAAGTAACTGAAAAGTCTACCAATTAAGACAACATATAAACCCTTTACAAAGATTACGAAATTAAAGGATAACTAATTGACGATCAAATGTATTTAATCAAACTATCAAATTGTTTGGGTCCAACAAAAAATCTACTAATATAACCTTTTTAAAATAATATAACCTTTTTAACACATGAATCGATCAAAGTTCAAGAGAATATCTGCAAGTAGAGCCCACCTATCCTTGTTTTCCAAAAAAACAAAGAAGTGAAACACAATCAGACATTCAAATGGTTATCTAACCCAATTGATCAAAAGGTACTACACTATGATTAGTTAATACAAAGGAAAACATCGAGTAAGGTATCCCAATTCAAAAATAAATTGCAGGAAAAAATGACTTCATTTCAAGAAAACACATCATAGTCGCCGATTCAGTGTCATTCTCATTCACATTAGTAGGAATTAACACGCACCAACAAATAATGTCATATCAGCAATGTTGCTTTCTATTAGCAAAACACGATTTTAAAGTATTTTTTCATTCAAAACCCTACTCCTATCATAAAGCTAAACAATTTAGAGAATAAGATTAAGTAGAGAAAGTAACAAATATTTGAAGTCACATGACAATTTTTCAATTGCATGGAATAGATTGTTCTTTGCTGAATGTAATAGATTATTCTTCGTTGATTCATTTTTATAACAAATGGTCATATTAATCGTAATGACATGCTTGTGTAACACATGTAACAAATTTTTCAATCAAATAGCCCTTGAGCTAAAGTTGCAAGTAAATACATGAAGTCTTGGCCAAAAAAATTTTGAGTCCAAGTGTTACACATAGTATTTTGAGAGGCTTTCATTTGCTTTTAATGGCAAAAATTGATTTATCTGCTCTAAGAAGCAGATAAAATTCAGCTAAAGTATTGCTCATAGCTTTAAATGCTAGTGTATAGAGAGAAGAAGAAACAATCCAAAAGAAGCATAAGTTAAATGAGATGACATATTTAAGTTGAAAAAATAATATTATAGAGAACCATACATAGAGAAACAAACAAAGCACATGAGTAGCCATAAACCTGCACAGTAGATTAAAAAAAAAATCTGGACATTTTTCTTTCTAAAGCTTCTCTTCCAACTTGCTTTTCGATTACAATTTTTCTCATCCGAAAGTGATTCTTCCACCATCTAATCTCCATTGCATTTAACATTAAATATTTACAATTTGATTTGTTTTTAAACTTGATGCCATCCGGCAAAATTTGAAAAATGACCAACAAATGATTGAAAAAGGGGTAGGTTAGTTGCTCCAAATGAATAATGCACTGACAGCGTCGAAGATAAACAACTGAAGAGGGTCGTTCTAATATTACAAGCGAATCGAATATCTTAGGTACACGCACAAAAATACATCATATAAACATACCCTAACTTTTTTCAATCGAAAAAAAATATTTTTAGAAAGTTGACCCAAAAGTTTGGTCCCAACAAATAACGAATAACTTGTGCACATGAACCCAAATAGTATACATCAATCCTTTAAGCTTGGTTGACTATTTCAACAGGCCACTTTACACTCTATCACCAAATATTCATCACTCCTCAATCCAATGTATAGACAAAATGCATCAAAATGCATAAAAAATTAAAATTTTATGAAAAATAAAGAGTTTTTGATCAAGAGCAAAATGACCGAGCTCACCTATTTGTGATCGAAGGGATCAATTCAAATAGTTCTCGGTCGATGAATGTTTTTGTCAGAAGCAAATTGGAAGATTGGGATTGTGGTTTCATTTGCAAATTTAAAATTTAATGTTGTCATATTGCAATTGAAAATTTAATGTAAATTTAACCAGTCTTACAGGACAAAATGAACTTTCTATGGCTCATATGATTTTAAGGTTCATAAGTTCTTGTTGAAGCCCCAAAAGAAGTAAGAGCAGGGAGCAGGAAACAAGGGTGTTGATTTTTTGTTTGGGTGTCTGCGTTATGTTGATACTGTTCACATCAGACATGTACCCATGTAAGAAAACTGCCAACGAAATATCTTCGTTAAGCATTTGAGGATGATATGTTTATCCCTACCTCCCATAATGGGATGTTGTGAGGACTTGATTAGAATGTAGGTCATGGAATTTGAGTATAATATTTGTGCGTACGTAGAAAGTGTCTTGACAAGATCTGTTTTTTTCTGAACATAACAATTTGCTTGCAGATTGGGGTAATAAAAGCAGTCAAGAACTCTGTGAATAGTTCTAAGAATGTTACAGCATTATGGGTAACTCATCGTTTGGAGGAACTCGAGAATGCTGATGGTGCTGTATATATGGAAGATGGAAGAGTCGTCATGCATGGTGATGCTTCAAGCATAAAAGATTTCATTGAAGCCAGGCAAACCTCTTATATAGACCAAATAAACTCTTGAAGACATTTTTTAATATTTTTTCTTCGAAATATATGTTTCTACCCTGTTCTTTTTACCATTCTCGTAATAAGCACAGATGTTTAGTTTCAGTATGTATTTTTAGAACTTTCCAGATCCTCAGGCTAGTAGATTCATCAGAACAATGGATATAAACAATTAACCCACCAGATATAATTATTATACCAGAAGTGTAACAGTATCTGAAGCTAATGACGATCTGATGCAGAACCGTGTCAAAACATTATTATGTGTCCCCAGTCCACTCACCACCGCAATAGCCTTTCGGCACCAACGGATGCCACTTGATTTCAAACATTCCATGACGGTTTTTGCAGAAATGGCAAAGGCGTTGCTATATTCCATCTTATGCTGTACTGGAACCGGCCACTGGAGGAACAAACAACCACCAAATTAGCGAGGATCTTCAAGTAACCATCACTTCCACTACTTTCCATGATATAAATTATCTCCTTTCCGCTACCTAAATTAATTGGAGGTTAAGAAAAATAAGGGTTTGATCCACATTTTTGGGATCTGTAAAACTGAAATATTTTGGAAACGTTTCGAAAAATTTTCAGAAACAGAATCGAAATGGAGAAAAAAATTTAAAAATATTTTCAAAACATCTCAAAACGTAAGAATTTTAATATTTAATCACTATTTCGCTCCGGTTTTCACGGAAATGGAATTGTTTTAGTCGTTTTGTATAAAAAAAAATCCTTCGATTTTTTCAAAAATTTGAATGCAGTTCTTGTGTTGGCAAAAATGTTAAGGGATTGATTAGTTATTGATTTTTATTACTAATTTTGCTTTCATCACATGATTTCAACCTAAAATATAGTTAATTTATTTCTTTTTTTTTTTTTTTCTGTTTGTTATTGAGGTTTTTGTTATGTTGTTTATCAGTTTTGAATAACGATTTGTATTTATAAAGAAAAAGGTACAATAACGATTTGTGTTTTAATTTACCTGTCTGAGATATGTGTTTTTAGTATACCTCTGTAACGATATGTATTTATGAAAAATAAGGTACATTAACGATCTTTATTTTAATGTACTTGTCTAATGATACGTGTTTTAATGTACATATCTAATGATATGTATTGTGGAGAAAAATATACATTAACGATATACATTTTAGTGTACATTTCTGACAATTTGTGTTTTAGTGTACCTGTCTGACGATTCTTTGTTATTTTTTATATTTTTTATTGCCTACCTCTTTTTTTTTTTATTTTCTTATTACATACTTATTATTTTTTAGCTCAATATATATATTTTTAATTGCATANTAATGATATGTATTGTGGAAAAAAATATACATTAACGATATACATTTTAGTGTACCTTTCTGACAATTTGTGTTTTAGTGTACCTGACGATTCTTTGTTATTTTTTATATTTTTTATTGCCTACCTCTTTTTTTTTTTTTTTTCTTATTACATACTTATTATTTTTTAGCTCAATATATATATTTTTAATTGCATACTTTTTTTTTTAGCATACCTTTATTAAGTTCAAAATTACACATTAGGGGGACATGGATCTGTCTCTTTAAATAAACAGCATTCAAAATTTGAAAGATTTTAAAAAGGATGTTAGATTAGATTTTTGAATTCATAGAAAACCTTTGAATTCAAAAAAGAAACATCTTAGCAGCTTTGGATAGTGTTTTTCTTCCTNTTTTTTTTTTTTAGCATACCTTTATTAAGTTCAAAATTACACATTAGGGGGACATGGATCTGTCTCTTTAAATAAATAGCATTCAAAATTTGAAAGATTTTAAAAAGGATGTTAGATTAGATTTTTGAATTCATAGAAAACCTTTGAATTCAAAAAAGAAACATCTTAGCAGCTTTGGATAGTGTTTTTCTTCCTTGAAACTTTCAGTTGGCGGTAATCATGAAGAAAAAGAAGTCTTGTTTCGGTAGGAAGGAAATTTTTGTACATATATGATTCATTTGTTTTATATTTATACTCTATCTCAAGGTTCTTCGATTTCTTCTTCTCTTTTTATAGTTTTTTGTTAAAAGACTTCGTCATTTTCTTCCATTTGTATTTTTCTTTGTTGGACATATANTGTGTATGTTGTTCATTGCACAAATACAAAAATTAAATTATCATAGGTACACAAATTAAAAATTAAATATTATGAAATTACATATATGATTCATTTGTTTTATATTTATACTCTACCTCAAGGTTCTTCGATTTCTTCTTCTCTTTTTATAGTTTTTTGTTAAAAGACTTCGNTTTGTACATATATGATTCATTTGTTTTATATTTATACTCTATCTCAAGGTTCTTCGATTTCTTCTTCTCTTTTTATAGTTTTTTGTTAAAAGACTTCGTCATTTTCTTCCATTTGTATTTTTCTTTGTTGGACATATAGAGTTCTGATTCGAGACGATTGATGTCAACTTGCATGGGCGTCGTCCAGAAATCCTGAAAGCATTTTTATGTTAGTTTGTGTTTTTTGTTGCCTTGATTGTTCTATTTTTTTTATGTGTTTTTATTCTGAATTTTAGATACACTATTTATAGAGATATTTTCTATGGGGTAGATGAAGAGGTTTAAATGTATGTTTATTATAGTGTTAATTTCTTAGTTAATCAAAGAGAAGTCTATCCAGTCGTTTGGTCACAATGTATTTGTTGTATGCAGCCGCTATTTAATAAATGTAATTTAATATACCTTTAAACTTCCGGTGGGTAATTTTTTAGAATAAATATTTTAATTACGTGATGACATTGTTGTTATTTTTTACGTTTTATAGGACGTTAGTTATGACCATTGCTTTGACTTTTCAACAGGGATTTAATTCAAAAGAAAATTAACGAGTGAATTTTTTTTTGAAATCCTATTGGGCTTAGAGACCGGCCTCCAAAAAAACTCTTTCTATTTTTGGCGTGGGATCAAATGTTACACCTCGATCAAGTTAAATTATGTTTCAAACATGCAAAGTTATGTTTCAATAAGGTTGAATTAGAATTGGTCCAAAAATTTGGGATTGGCCCCAATTTTTTTATGATTAATTTCAAGTTTTTTAAAATCGATACCAAATTCATAACTTTATCTTAGTAACGTATGATACAACAAATAGTTTTTGAGCGATGCTAGATGAACTTAAAAATTAGATTTGATAAATATAATTATTGATTTCACTGTGGTCCACTACTTGTTCAATAGTTGTAATTATCAAGTTTAGTTTTTAAGTTTAATTTTTAAATTCATGCATCATTAGTCATAGTTTTTTTCAAGTTCGAAAAAAATAAAAAATAAAAACTCCCAAGTATTGTCCTTGTCAGACTTGGCCTAATTCTTTTTGTGAAAGCTTGACTGAAATGAGTTTGGTAAGCCTCCACAATTACAATACATGCAGCCCAACTCGGATACTTTCCCACTACAGTAATAGTGCCATGTTTCTTATCCTTTGTCCGTCTTGTACTCATTGCTAAAACTTCTCCCTCCTGCATAAAAGATTCAGCAACACTTCTTTTTCTATTTTATTTTTTATTTTTTCTTTTGTGGGTAAGTAAAATCCACAGCACTTCAAATTGAATTTGAGAAAAAAGAAGGAATGACATACTTCATAGCTAATTAATTAGTTGTGTCGGCTATGAACATTTGATTTTACATTGTAATTATGAGTCTAAATAACACGTGGTTGTAATAGTTTTTTTTGACCATAGATGATTATTGGTGCCTGGATGCAAACTAGTGTGCTGTGCAAACCCCACACGATGCCTACTAGCTAGTCATGCCTCATTAGCACTCCAACCATGTCCACTTGCGCACTTTTCCTCTATGAATAGTGTTGAAAGTTTCATTCTAGCTACTCTTGCCAAATTCTTCTATCACAAACGATGTGAGTGGTTTATAATCATAGTTAAGATGGTCTCATTAACTCCGCCTCTCTATTTATTTGCATAGATAATTTCAAATTCAGATAGAAGTGGGAGGTGGTTTTAGATAGTTGACGGACATCATAAAATTTGTGAGACCTAATCGTACAAATACTAATGTATTGAATTCAATTGAAACTCCAAAGGTAAGTGTACTTGAGAGAGAATACTAGCAAGATAGATGAAAAATCTTTCAATGTACTCACCTAAGGTTAGGGAGGTAGCATGCTGATTTCAAATGCAAAAGTAAAGCATTGAGATGTGAAATGATATTTACGAAAAAAAAATTAGGATATCATTACAAAAAATTGATTTTTAACCATTGATTTTGGTTTAATTAATTTTTAGTTATTGATTATGAAAATGACAATCACTCCCCGTTTACATAAAAAGTCTATTATTAGTGCATTTGTACTGATTCTACCGGAACTTGGTAGAATATAAAGACAATTGTTTGAATTTGGATCAAAATTTTGGAAAACACACCAAGATTTATGTAAAGAATAGAATGATAACTAACAGAATCATAGTAATACTAGGTTGCAAGACAAATGACAATGGAAAAGTGAAATTGTTGGGTTTAGAAATTTTTGTTGTTGGAAAAACACAAACTGAATGGACTGGGTGCAAAAATTTCAAAAAACAAAAAGTGGAGTCAGTGTAGGAATTAAAGGGGAACACAGTATACGAGATTCTCGTTATTACGGGATATACGGAAAGTCAGATATATGTAATTTTATCCTTACTCGTAAAAAGACTGTTTCTATAACTTGAACCCTTAACACTCAAACCACAATCAAACAACCTTACTAACAATTAAAAACTGCTCATTTATTTGACCCCAATAGATCTATTGCTTGACTGATATTTTCTTTGGTAAAATTATTTCAACTCAACAATGTTTTTTTTCAAAATTTTGTATTGATTATATCAATCAAATTTCGTCATTGTGCATTTTGTAGAGTTTTTACTAAACTAAATACTATCACTTCATTTTTTTTAAATTATCATATTTTAAATTATTTCAAATTATTTTCAGGACCTCCATCTTTTTAATGGCCTCCAGATACAAAGAAAATAGAAAAAACAGAAAAG